TAAAATATGTATAAAAAAAATAGGCAAACATGAGTCTACATGACCACTAAACTAAAGCATCATTCCTTTCGTGTTATTATACATTTATGGTGATCCCATGTATCTGAGTCATTTTCCAAAGGCAGTTGTTTTATTCAGTTCTGTGTGAGGCAAAATTGAGTAGTTAATTTCAACATTTCATGCTGTGCTTTATTAATGTACCATGTAAACATTTAATGGGTCTATTTATTAATAATTTTGATACATTCATATTTAAAATGGGGTGTGGGGGGCCTCCTATTTTCTCTTTGCCAAGGGCCCCCATAACTCTTAATCCACCACTGCCTGAATCAGTAAATCTGAATCAGCTAGTTCAGGTCAGTAAATCTCTGTGGGGAAAATGTTTTTCAGGGATTGGATAATATATTTTTTGCCTGAATTACAAGCTTCCTCAAAAGAAAAAGTTTACTTATCAAACTTTATCTTCTCAATGGTAGTTTAAATCATCAACTCTGTGGCTATAAAGAGATTTTTCATTTGACCTGGGACTGATTGCCTTGATTGACTTGAATTAAAACAGCTGTTACATGGGTGTCTCTTCCAAACTGCATTGCTAGTCTTCTGTCAGCAGGTGGCCTGGGAGAGCCCACATCTTGAGAAACTTGTCCCTGGAAGGAGCCACACTTAAGTTAATTACAGCTGCTTTAACTTATAGATGCACACAACATGATCCTGGGAGAAACCCAATTCCACAGTAAGGAAGGCATCCCAGGGAAATGGGCCGTTACACAGGGGAACTTCAGGTGGCCCAGTAAAGAATGGATTTTTCCAGAGAATTTTAGACTTTTCAAAAAGTAAACATGGGGCTAGGGGTCGGGGCTGACTGGGAGATGTTTAGAAGCTTTCTGTGAGCCTTTGTATCATCCCAGGTCTTGGGGATGAGTCTAGGACCCCAGCAGCCAGAGGCTGACACACACAGCAGGAAGGCTAGAGTCCAAAAACTCTGAAATGGCTCTCTAGAAGAAAGGGCTGTGGTCAGGGAAGAAGATGAGAAATTGTATCAGGTTACCTTACTGTGATAGCGCCTAATCTCAGAACAAGTGACAGTCCAGGTGAGCCCCTTCCATGGAGAAATATTTGCCAGCTTCCTTGAGAGAAAAACTTTACTCATCTGACCATATCTCCTGGGTACGGCCATACCTCTACTGAAGGGGCTGAACTACTGTTCAGACTGTCAATTCTTTGTGGGGGGACTGTTTTTCAGGGGGCTGGAGAATGTACTCCCCACCTGAATGGCAGATTGCTTGAGGGGAAAAAAAATCCTCATGTGGCCATACGTCCTGAGTGGTAGCACCCACTGGCAAATCTCTTGTGAGAGAGACGTTTGTCATGAGCTGGAAAATGCATTCTACAGCTAAAGTGCAAGATTCCTCAAGGAAAAAAAGTTTCTTGCATCAGGGAATATCTCCTGAATGGTAATTTAGATCAGCTAATATCTGTGATGAAATGCTTGCCAGAGGCTGGAGAATGTATTCTATGACTGAAATGCCAGATTCCTTGAGGAAAAAAATGTTTACTTATCTGGTCATATCTTCTGAATAGTAGTTCACTGTGACAGATAGATTTGTCAGGGACTTTAGAATGTGTACCCCATGTGGAAAATAAATAAATAAATAATATTATTCATCTGCTCATATCTGCTGAATGATAATTCATATCAGTAACTCTGTGAAAGAAATATTTTTCAGTATTCCCTGCATAAGATGCAAGATTGCTCAAAAAAAAAGTTGTCATCTGGCCATAACTCCTGAATAGTATGTCTGATTAGCAAATCTTTGTGGGGAAAATGTATTCCCTGAACATAATACACGATTCCTCAAATCAAATCTGCCTGGTCTTATCTTCTGACTGGCCGTTTAAGTTAAAAAAATCTCTGTGTGAGAAATGCTTCTCTGAAGCTGTAGACCAATTGTTCTCAATGTTTTTAGACTTGATGCACCTTTCCATAGACCCAAGGTACCTCTTGATAAATGCAAAGCACCCCTTGGAAAGTGCCAGCTCCTATTTTTCACTCTTTACTTAACTACAGAAATCTAATAGAGCATTTCTTCTGTTGAAATGAACACAGAAAGACCACAAAAGATCAGAATGTTCAACACTATGGATTCCTATTTGAAATCATTAGGTTTATCTTGTGAATCATGTTTGCACAGTTAACAGTGCTAACACTGTGTGGCACCTCTGCATCGCCCTTGAAAGGATCTCAAAGAACCTCAGGATTCCACAATACCCTGGTTGAGAATCACTGTTCTATAGCCCCTGCAAAGTATTTCCCTAAAAATGATTTGCCCATCTGAACAACTGTTCAGACCATATGACAATATGACAACTTTTTTTTATCCTGGGACTGACATAGATAGAGCACCATTAAGCTCCCTTTCCCCAGGAATCTTTTTCACAGCAGGCACAGTCCTGCAGTGCCCAGACAAGTTCAGCCTCATGGAGCAGGGGTATAGAATGGCAGCCCCTCTCTGGGAGGCCCCTGAACCTGGGTAGGGGTGGAGTGAATGGTGCATCCAGAGCAGCCTCTAGGATGACAGCCTTCCCCTTGGCTTTGACCAGCCTTCCCCTTGGCTCAGAGATGGTGGGATGTGGGGAAGTTGCATGTCTGGCTCTTTTGCTGCAGATACACTTGGAGGCACACTCAGCAGAGGGAGGTGGCCAGGGAACAGCTAGAGACGGAGGTGCTGGAATTGGAGAGGTGCCTAGCTGCTGACCCAAACAACCCATCACTCTGAGGAGGGTGTTGGGAGGACCTTTGCACTCTGGATGAGTGCCACGCCTAGAGTGCATTCATTCACTTGCATGTCCAGCTCCTTCTGGAGATGGACTGCTGCTCCCACTTATATACACTGGAGAAGAGGCAGAGGTGCCAAGAAGTACATGGCATGCCTCTTGGTGGGTGACGCCCTTCCCCTCATGGATCCAGGTGAGATGCAAGAATGGGCAAGAGCTTTCTATGGAGAACTCTTCTTCCTGGGTCTAACTGATGCCAATGCCTGCCGGGTCCTGTGGAAGAGACTACCACAGGTCAGTGTTGGTGACCAGAACTGGCAGGAGGCTCCTCTCACCCTGGGTAAGCTTTCAGACACCCTCCGCCTGATGCCCAGAAAGGGGACCCCTGCGACCTGAGGAACTGGTGTCCCATCTCCCTTCTCTGCATGGACTACAAGGTCACAGTGAAGGCAATCTCACTGCACCTGAGGTTCATGCTGGAAGACAAGATCCACCCTGACAAGTTGTTCGTGGTGCTGGGGAGATCCATCGTCAATAACCTATACCTGGTCCAGAACCTCCTGGAGCTCGCACACTGGGAGGGCCTGTAATTAGCTCTTCTGTCCCTCAACCAAGAGAAGGTATTTGACAGGTACATGTAACGTGGACAGCTCCATGCTCTGGGCCAGCGCAGCAGACTATGCCTGCTTAACAGTTCAGTTTTGTCCTGAGTGTTCGTTCCATTTCATTTATCAGGGGCCCTATGCTTCCCTTATTTGTTCTCTGACTTCCTACATATCTAAAGAAGGACTTCTTCTTGTCCTTGATTCTGGTCTCCGAAACAGGTAATGTGGGCCAGGACCATCCTCTGGTGCACCAACTGTGGGTTTTTCTGCAGAGGCTCAGTGAGGAGTTCAGCTTCAGTCCCCATTTTGTGTGGTTTCCATAGGTGCTCTGCCCCCCCCCCCCCCAACAGAGTGCATGGTCAAGCTCAATTGGACCCTGATGGAGCCCATCCCGTTCAGGCAGGGAGCGCATCAAGGCAGTCTGCTGTTGGGCCAGCTCTACACCATGGCTCTTGAGTCCTTTCTCTGCCTCCTGTGCAAGCGGATGGTGGGACTAGTGCTCCAGGAACCAGCAATGAGACTGGTCCTGCCAGCATATGCCAATGATGTGCTCCTCACCATCCAGGACCCAGGTGACTAGGCACAGATGGAGGCCTGCCAGACCATGTACTCAGCAGCTTCCTCTGCCCAGATCAACTGGGTCAAGAGCTCTGGCCTGACGGTGGGTGACAGGTGTCAGGTGGGCTCACTCCCACCCATGCTCCAGGGCATCCACTGGGGCACAGGCTTGCTGCTCTCTCTGGGGGTCCACCTGTCCCCCAGGGACCCCTTCCTGCCAGAGGACTGACAACCACTATAATCAGGGTGCTGGAGTGGCTGCAGGCATGGGCAGACCTACTGCGGTACCTCTATCTTCAGGGGAGGATGCTGGTGATTAACCGGCTGGTCCTGTCCATGCTCTGGCACTGCTTCAACGCCCTATTTGTGGCCCCAGAGGACCTGGCCAGACTCCAGAGACAGGGGCTGGGGTGCTTCTGGCCAGGACAGCACTGGGTCTCTGCAGGTGTCCTGAGCTTCCCCTTTTGGGAGGGCAGGCAGGGCCTGATCTGCCTTCATCACCAGGTCTACACTTGCCACCTTCAGGCCCTGCAGAGGCTCCTCTACATTGCTGGTAGCCATGCTCCATGGAGCCACTTGGGACACACCTTCCTCTGCTGCCTCTGAGGGTTCCAATATGACTGGCAACTCTTCTACCTGTGAGGGCTTCTCAAACAGGGCCTGGAAGAGCTGCTGGGTTTCTACCAGGACCTCCTCAGGGCCTGGAGGTTGGTCTCCACCTCCAGGTCCCCAGGGGCAGTTGCCCAGGGCGCTGACCTCCTCACCGAGCCCCTGTGGAAAAACCCACAGCTGGTGCACCAGAGGATGGTCCTGGCCCACATTTCCTGTTTCAGGGACCTCCTGGACTATGTCAAGCAGGCATAGTTTGCCTTACTGGCCCAGCGCATGGAGCTGCCCATGTTACATGCACCTTGCTGCCTATTCCAGGAGGTCAAGGCTGCCCTGACGCCCCTCCACCCCCTGCAACTGCCCTCGCCTACATCAATCAGGTCCTGCACAGGGGCATTCCCCACCCCTCATATCGCTCAGCAGGCCCCACAGTGCTCCCCACCTCACTACCTGAGCAGGCTGGAGGACACCAAGCTGGTACATTTTCATACTACCCACCACCTCCAGCTCTAAACATTCATGCTCTGCACCATGCACCATTCCATCCTTGTGTCCTGCCCAGACAACAAGTGACAGGACACCCTACGTGAGGGCAGGGGTGAGGGTACCCAGTGGATGAGTCTGTATTCTACTCTGATCCTGCAAGCCACTGGGGATCGCAGCTGGTGGCTGTTCCATGGAGCCATTGCCCCAGGCGTGTATCTGGCATTATGAGGAGAGGCTAAGGGAACTAGTCTGGAGAAGAGAAGACTGAGGGGGGATTTGATATCAGTCTTTAACTATCTGAAGTGTAGTTCCAAAAAGGATGGAGCTAGACTGTTCTCACTGACAAAAGATGACAAAACAAGAAGCAATGGTCTGAAGTTGCAGCAAGGGAAGTTTAGGTTGGATATTAGGAAAAAATGTTCTCATTAGGAAGGTGGCAAAGCACGGTAATGGGTTTGAAGGGGAATGGGTTTGGAGTTGAATTGCCCTTATGTATAAGCGAGCAAATCACGTGCGTTGCTTAAGCTATGAGGAAGTTAAAGGATATGACCCAAAACCGCTAGGCTAGCGCAAACTGGAACAATCCTGTCCTAGTCCAGTAAAAGCAGAAACTTAGTGTAGAAGTAGCCACGTACTGGCTTGCTGAGTCAGCCCAGAACGGGAAGTGACCCTGTGGTTACAAGCTAGAAGAAACCAGTTAAACTAACAATGCTATACTAAAAATAAGTAGAAACATGCGTATTACTATCAAAGTCATGGCAAATGCTGATTGGTGTATGCTGTTGCTGTGCTTATGATGTCATATTTTCTAAATAAACTCACCTCACCTATTGTATGGGGTCAGACCTCTTCACAATTCTCCAATTGTGTATGAGTCTGTCCAGAATGCATTCTCTAATAAACCAAGTTCTTTTTTTAACTTTCATTAGTCTGTTCATCTGAGCCTCCGCCCAATGAACCGGGGACAAGTTTTCCCCAACAGTTTTCTGATGTCATAAGTGGGATGTGGCAGAACACCGAGCTGGTGGCTTGAACAGTCTGGGGACACAGCTGACACCCGTGGCGCCAAAACTCAGAGGTAAGAGATCCTAATTTTAAAATCTCACCTAACGGGTCTCAGTGCTCCCTAGCCTAGACGAGTAACGTCTTCTTGGTGGTAAGCACTCCCTATGTTATTTATATGAAGTTTAAGACTTGATTTATCTGTCTAATAAAAATGTACTAGAATACATTTTCTGAAGCTGAGTATATGGGACCCTGACAGGTAGACTGTTCTGATTTCGTCTGGGGGCACCTAGACTCCTCTCTGTCTATCCCTTTGCCTACTGGCCTCTAACAGTCCCTGTCCTGATAACTCTGATTTATATTTGAGAGATTGTCTTGTGTCTTTCCCTTATGTCTGGTTCACGGGCAGCCGCCCCAAGATGGCCACTTGCAAGCCAATCTTGAATGCAAGGGCTCGTGTTCCAGTTTGTAAATCCCCTTTGTGTCTCTGGCACTGGGCATCGCTCTGATGAACCCGTCTTCCCCTTCCTCTTGTGTCTCTGATATCTCTCCTGACTGAATTGCTGGGTTCTGAGAATGGGGCAAGAAATTTCTTATCTGGATCTGAAAACTCCTTTAGGACAGATGTGTAAGATTTATGGTCCTCAACTAGGTCCTAAAAAATTAGAACAGTTGGTAAAATTAGCTCAGCTTGGAATGGGTATACCTATGAAAACCCTGCATTGCAATTCCCAGTTCAGGGAACTTTTGATTCCGACAGATTAAATTATCTGAGGGGATTCTTAGAAATACCCAAGCCAAAACAAATGGAATATTGGTACCTATGGGATAATGAAGCTTCTAGAAGAAAACAAAAATCAGTTGAGGCTAGTCTCAGAGACTCTAACGATAAATTAAAAAAAAACAATTGGCTACTCTAAAAGAGGCAAAATTGGCTCTGCCTCTTGTAAAAAGTGAGAAACTGAGCGCTCCACCAGACCCAAATTGTCCTCCAGCATATAAAAAACTTTACCCAAGTCTTCAGGCGCCCAACGCTATCAGCACTCAAGATGACTCAGAAGATCTATTAGACTCTTGGGTACCCAGAACTGCTCCTCAGCCACCTGTTCTTCCCGCCCATGCACAAAATGTAAACCAACCGGTAGGAGCAGTTAATCATCTTACAACAAACCTATCAGAAAATTTACCATCCTCAACTGCTCTAGATTCTGATGAATCCTACTTTACGAAAAGTTAGGAAAAGATTAAAACCTGAGATTAAACATTTATTTGGGGTGCAAGATGTAAAAGAGGTCAGAATGGCCAAATTGTAGTAACTCTGTTTACTACGAAGGGTGGTGAACTCATCACCACTACTCTTGGTGATCAGCAATATTTCAAATCTGCTGTTTTCTGCCCATTAAGACAATATCCACCTCAGATGCACAGCAGGCAACGGACTGTAGCTCATGTCCCTTGGACTGCCAGTGACATTTCTACCTTTTGCAATACCTTTCCAAAGCTAAGAGAAAGTCCCACTGAATTTAGAGACAAGTTGCAACAAGTCTTCAATATTTATAACCCTACTGTGTCTGATGTAAATTGGCTCTTAAACAGCTTATTAAACCCAAAACAAAAGCGACTTTTAATTACTGAAACTAGAAATGTTCATGGAGGTACCCCTTGGCCGGAAAATGATTATGATTATGAAAATAATCAAGGACTACTAAATTTGCAAAATGCCAGAACTACTTTGTTGAATGCTGTTGCCAAAGTTGCTCAAACGCATGTAGATTGGACCAAAGTAGAAAATTGTAGACAAAAACCAGAAGAACACCCTGCTGATTTTCAAAACAGACTCTGCAGCAATTCAAAGACATACTGGCATTGATCCTGCTGCAGATAACCTGCGCGGATTGATTGTTACCACTTATGTAAAAAACTTGCAAAAGCCATTACAAAAAAAGCTACAACAGCTAGTTTTAGGATGGAAGGGTAAACCACTTGCTGAGATTGTTCAAGCATGTGTTGATCTATGGGAACAACAACAAACAGAAAAAGACAAAAAAAAAGCTAAAAACCATCCTGATAGCTTTGCAACTTCAAGACCTAGAGCAGAGATGATGTAATGGTCCTCATCAGTTCCCACAACAGCGCACCATATTTTATCCCCAAGCACCAGCTCCTGCTCAAAATCTTCCTGTAGACTCTAACTCTAACTCTACCAGGTGCGCCTCCTTTCCAGCAACAATTTCGACGCGGACCTCAACCAGACGATACTTGTAACTACTGCAAACAAAAGGGACATTGGAAATTTAACTGTCCAAATCAACCTAAACAACCCCATTCCCCAACAACCCTGCGTCCTTCAGATCCTGCCCAATGACAATTTTCCAAAGTTCCTGTATCTTCTACCTGTGCTTCGTTGAATCTCCTTGTAAAGCCTCTGAAGACGGCAGCGTACCTATAGTAGTTAATAAGCAATCTCATGATTTCTTAGTAGATACAGGAGCCTCTATGTCTACTATACGGTGTGAAGAAGCCAAAGGGCTTGCACCCACTACTGAAACAGTTAATGCAATTGGAGTAGGAGGCCAGGTTATCCCGCATAAATATGCCAGTCCTGCTGTGGTAAAAATAGGACCCTTGTCTGCTAAGCATGCCTTTTTACTAAGTCCTACTGCCGCGGTAAAACTGTTGGGAAGAGATTTTGAAATTTCTAAAGGACACAGGCATTTAACTGCTGACCGCATTTCTGCTGTTCTTTCCCTTCCTAGACCCACTACCAAAAAGCAACTTAGAGGATTTTTAGGCGCTGCTTCTTACTGTAGACAATGGATCCCTAACTTTTCTCTCCTTGCTAAACCTTTAAATAAACTTACTAAAGAGACCATTCCTGAAAGCTGTCTTCCATAGACCAAGCACCATAAGCAAGTCTTTGTTGATCTAAAAACTGCACTTGCATCAGCACCGGCACTCAGGCAACCTGATTATAACAAGCCATTTACACTGTATTGTCATGAGCAAGAAAGTGTCGCTACTGGAGTCCTAACTCAACCCTTTGGTTCCTCTTCTAAACCAATTGCCTACTTTTCTTCCTTGCTTGATCCTGTTGCCCAAGGATTCCCACCCTGTTTGCGTGCTGTAGCTGCTGCAGCAGTGCTTTTACAAAAATCTGCAACCACGGTTTTAGGATCTCCTCTTGTCCTTGCTGTTCCCCATGCTGTCTCTGCCTTACTGAATCAAGGAAAAACTCAACACTTACCCTCCCAAAGATTGTCTTCATATGAGCGTATAATTCTAGCTGCTGACAATGTCACTATTTTCTGCTGCAATGTTTTAAATCCTGCTTCTCTTTTACCTTTACTACATGGAAGTAATATTCACTTACTAGATCATGACTGTCTCACCCAAGTAGATCAGATACTTACTCCTCACCCTGATCTGTCTGATATACCCCTGTCTAATCCTGATTGCATTTTTTTTGCATGTAAAAAGGGATAATATGGGACAACTCCGTGCTGGATTTGCAGTATGTACACCTCATGAGGTTGTTGAAGCGCATAGTCTCCCTGGTATTT